AATACCATACAAAATCGGTACATCACAGGCAATTCGAAGAAGCCTCAAAAATATTTGGATTCACCCAACGTTTAAACCAACGAATCTAATTAAAAAATAAGATAAATCAACTGAAACATCCCATAAAAAATAATGGATAAAAACAATGTGATTTACAAGCAGATATCTTGTGCTGACTGTCCGACTAAATATGTGGGTCAGGCGTCTAGATCACTCAAAATAAGAGTGAATGAACATAAACGCCTGCATAAACAAAGGTCATTATCCTACAGGAACACAAGCTTACAAAAATTTAGAAAAAAAAACATTCATCGATTACTGCACATACAGCAGGGAACAAAAATCACAATATCGTTTGGGACAATGTTTGTATTCTAAATGTAAACTAATATGAACAAATGGAACAAGAAACTTAGAACAGAATCCATGTTCAATAAAGTCACATCGGATACATGTAACAAGGGTGAGTCAGCAGGACAACTGCCAACAACCTGGAATATAATTCTGAATACACAGAAATGAATGAACAAAACAATATAATTATACTTTATTTGATCCATTCTACAATGCTCAAACGTTTAACTGACATTACTACACCTAATTCTTATGTCATGATACATTTTCTTATTTTATACGCTCACAAAATAAGTGGAAAAAACATTAACCAAAGTGTATGTATCCAGATACCTTTTTTCTAATAACATATGTTCAAATATATTGATTAGAAGTTAAAAAAAATTCAAATTCAAAATTTAAAATGATACATTGATTTTAAACATTTCAATCAATACATGTGTGTGTGCATTCCTCCCAACCAATAAGAACCCAGCTATATGAGACATTTTATCAGTCAGATATCAAATGATTATTGGCACATGGGATATTTGTAGTTCGATCGTGAACTAATATTCAGTTAGTTAGACAGACATAGAAAAGTACCAGAGAGTATTTGGAAGCTCTTTCGTCCCCAAAACTTTGAATAACTCCAGCACACCAGAGACCGAAACGAGGACTATGACTTTACTACACCAATTCGTTAACTATACAGTCACTTGAGACAGAAGCCAATGGCTCATGTATTCCAACTTCTGTTAGTTGGTGACATATAGTGTGATTGCCACTTAGTGCCTTTCTAATTGGGGTGAATCATCACATGACGCAGTTGCCCAAAGTTCCACAGAGAAGTCATCACCAGTGGAGTCGACCGAGTTGGATGTGAGCAGATGTACTCACCGAAATTATTGGCTGGCGGTCGCAGATATTAGAATAACCGAGTACTACCGAAATGTGTCTCAACAGTCAGCCAGCTTGCCTTGAAAGCTTGAGTGAAATCTTTGATGCTCGTTGAAAACACCCATATGGACATTAAAAAGAAGCGAACAAGAAGTTCAGAAAAGATAACTGTCTTTTCGGCGATTTCATTTTCAAAAGCTGTACAATTGCATTTAAATACATAATTTTACATGGATACAATTCTTGTTTGATTCCACATAATTACGACGGTGAATACAAGGTGATAATTATTTTCAACTAGATATGGTTTATGAGAGGCTTAGAAACAAAATTACATGGCATTATAGCGAAGGTATCCAACTATAGAAATGCGTTTGAGCCGAAAAAGAGCTCTCATCATCGCACTAACCCATCGAATTAGAAAAATCTGCAGCAGCGATTGCATGGAAGAGGAGCCCCTATTCCTCAAAAATATCCTGGCTTAAAATGGCTACCCGACATGTTTTGTCGAATAGAACATGAGACCTTTACCAAAAAGAGAAGAATGCAATTCAGCACCAAAGAAAACGCTGTATCTGAATCCGAAATTCAGGGGAGATTTGGCAGCCGACGTCCTGAAGAGGAGAATATCCAGGTCTTTAAAGAAGACCTTGCCTGCAGCAATACTAAGAGTGACATTATCTAGCCGTTCAATACTTCGAAACAACGCGAACGACAAACTCTTACATATGACTAATTCAATGTACATATACCAGTTTACCTGCTCGTGCGGAGCTAGGTACATAGGTCGTTGTATGCGGGTCCCTTCAAAACGTGTTAGAGAACATTACCCAGCGTGTCTGCGTCGGTGGCACAGTGGTCAGGACTCTTGCCGACCATGCACATGGTTCGAGGTTCGATCCCCTACCGACGCACACCTGATATCTATGGTCGGCCTGTGAAATTTCGTGCTACCGATATCCATGCTGAAAATTCCATACTTGTACCAAAAATACAGTGTGGAATCAAGCTGTAATCAAAAATATAAAAAAATAAGGAGGCATCGGCCAATCAGAAGTGCCATTATTGACCATCTGATCAACACCTCCCTCAACATCCCAACTGACTCTTTCAAGGTGATTTACTAAATCAACAGAAACATACCAAAAGCAGTATGTTTCCAACTTCTCTCTAATCCAGAAGCCCTCGCAATGTACAACGAGAAGCCGGAGTTGTGTGTTCAGAAGAAATTAGTTCAACCTCTACAACTACCATCGACCTAGTTCGATATGTTTCCTTAGCTTCCACTTTTTCTTTCGTTCTCTTTTTTGATCTTTTTTCATTCGCTGTGTGTGTGTGTGTGATTCTTACCCCTCTCTGTCTTCATTTGATTCACTCCACTTTTTCAGTTACAAAATCAGTTATTTTAAGTTTGTTTCCATGCTTTTCCTGTTCTCGTTTATAATTCGTTTAAAATTAACTATTTTACAATTATATCTTAATCCTATGCAACTTTAGTGTTTCTAAGGCTCTTGTAACCTATATTCACACCTTCTAACTCCCATTTCAAGTTAAAGAATATTATTTCACTTTTGTTTCCATGCTCATTCTCACACACTTGTTATTCGTTCTAATCTTGTGTTAATTTTGTTTCTAAGCCTCTCGTAAAAACCATGTCTAGTTGAAAATAATTATCACCTTTTATTCGGCATCATAATTATGTATCCGTGTAAAATTATGTATTTAAATGAGGTTGTACAGCTTTTAAAAATGAAATGGCCAATAAGATATCTTTGCTGAATTACATGTTCTCTTCTTTGCAATTCTTTGATGATCTCATTGGCGGTTACTGCCGAAAAGTCAAAAGTAGGCTGATGTAACAGCAGTCTCTAACTTTCTAACTGAGGTTATTTTCCTACCAAACCAGTTAAACCAGTTAAATCCGTCCCTACACACACGAACACTGATTATTTAAAAAATTTAACTTGATTATGCCATCTAGTTGAACAATGAAACGTTCGCCAGATCAAGGAGGAAAAATATACACACAAATGTCAATTATTAGAATGCATCGCCATTTTGAAACACTAAAATGCATAGTTAAATATAAGATGGGGAGGAATGCGCCGGGAGGGTGTGTGTGTGTGGAAGAAAGGCCATTAAAGACTCTTTATTATTTTTATGCCCCTTTTTCCTCGCATTATCAATGAATGGCATTCCATTGAAGATGTGAAGCAATAAAACAATGTGTGAGGATAAATTTATATTGGTACAGTTAAATGATTAGGGCCATAAACTGAAAGTGGATTAAATAGTTAGGAGGGCTATGAATACATTGCTAAGTAGACACAACACAACGCAACACACAAACTAGTAGAGGGTTAGTTAGTTAACGAATAAAAGGTGGTGGATGGCGGGTGGGGGTGGAGAAAGACGTCTTTATGGAAGAAGAATTTAATTGCCAAGTGAAATGACAAACTCAAATAGCCTACTTAGAAGAAAAAGCAAAAAAACTTCTTGTGAAAAGTTATTTATCACAGGACAATAAAAATGAGTGCATGACGAAAATGCAGAGGGTAGTAAAAAAAAAGTAGGAGATGTCGCATACCAGGGGAGGGTACCAGGGTTGGGAAGGGGGAGTACGGAAGTCAGGAAGACAATTTCAAAGAAGATAAGGGAAGGAGAAGAATCCGGCAGTCCAGGGATATTATTCACTGATTTATAGACAGTTAAAAACTGTAAGTTTTAGTAGGTGAAGGAAAATGAAATCTTTGGAAAACCGGCTCCATGTGGTTAGAAAAATAATAAATAGATGTCGATAGATAGTTAAAGTACTTTTCTTGACTTCCTTTTATTGTTTTTTCAGTTACTTGATGTTACTAAGTGACACAAAAGAAGGAAAGTATTTTATAACACAGTGGAACAATTAATTGAACTTTATGAGTTTGTCTGAGATAGGGCAAAATAACTGGTTTGCATGAAATTACTTGATTGATTGATTGATGGTGTCTGAAAACGGTGAAATTCAGCAGGCTGTGTTCCGTTTCAAGCTTGAATAATATATAGTATCTAAAATTCTAAGGTCAGTAATCATGCACATACTGAGTGATGCTCAGCAGATATATGCTCGAGAAAACTAAGAAGACTTTAGTTCAGGAAGATGGTGTGTTAATTATATCTTCGGCAGTGAACAGATCCTGGGAGATTGTGATACATACATCACTAAGAGAACCCTCATAGTATAAATTATTATCATAATTGTTGCATTGGCTTTTCAGTGGAATATAAAACCTCAGCAGTATGCGTTTATTTTTTATCTATGTTTTTTTCTTTCTGGCTTTTTTAGCCGACTTCACGATTGGTCACAAGTTTTCATTTCCTCCTGAAATAATCTCCTCGATTTTCCTCCTAGACTGACTGTCAACTCGTGTCTGCCTGTTCAGATTCCACTCGATGGCATTTTGTCTGGTGTCAATCAGCGGTCATATCAGCGTATATCCAAGCCTTTCTCGATATTTTTCAGGCAGTAAGAACCCCCGTGGCAACTAATATTCTTTCGAGGTGACAGATAAACATGCTTTGACCACATGGACTAAAAAGAATGAAACTTAAAAGGCATATTCATACAAATGTCTACTTCTCACTCGGCGCCCAAATATTATAGAACTATTCTGTCAAATCTTGACTACAGTTCGTTTGATTGATGCATATTCATAAGATTAACATTTATTATTATTATCAGTATTTAAGACGAACTGAACAGCAAATTTATTGAGAGTAAAACTCACTTTTGACGTAATTCTCTATCGAATACCAAATTTGTATAAATACTTCCGTCTAACTGATTAATATTAAAGAATTCTTTGCCTTCATTGTTAATTTGATACTTGATTTCAGCATTTTTTCCACTGTCAGCATCACTTGCAATCACCTTGTTGACAAATGTATTCACTGCACTGTTCTCTTGGACTGCAAACTACCGTAATAGGGAGAAGAAAGGTAAAAATAAAAGTTGCGTGGCGGTCAAATCAAAACTAGACACCAATCAGTCAACTTACTAAAATTTTCAAGTATTGATTTTGTAGGGATTTTTGTTTGATTGCATGCGGGATTTCATCGTGAGCTGACATCAGTTAGAGAACCACTGGAGCACCAGCTGAGAGTACTGGTAATCTGATACTCACTAGCGACTGGCCCTATTCAGGTAGGTAGTTATCGGGGATTCTAGTATGAAGCCTTGGCCAGTAGAGTACAGCAGGTCGAAGATGAGGCAGCAAATCATCATAGAAGAAGACATTGTGAAGTGATCGCGCTATGTCGTTAATTGGCAGAAGTTATAGTTCAAGGACCATTGGTCCCGGTGGCTCAATGGTCAACGAGCTCGCCTTGTAACCAGAGAGGTCTAGGTTTGAACCCAGTTGTGGTGAGTACGTACTGCTAAAGTGTCCCAAACCAGGTTCTACTAAAATTTGTTGACTGTTAATTCATGCAATGTAAGAAGCAGGAGACTGTCTGACTAAGGCCTGAGATTGGCTTACAATCAGTAGCTGGGGATTAGTTCGTTAGTAGCATAGCTCTATTTAGGAAATCAAAACAAGTGATTCAGCGAAGAGACTCTCTTCAGCGAATTTATCATCAAGCTGTACAATCGTATATATATATATATTTTTTAAGTTATATCCGTTGAGGAAATTCAATCATAGTTGTGAATGCATAAAATAATAATAATAGTATGAAATGCAATTTAAATGTTTGTGATTATAATCATAGTTAAGTAGCAAGTTGTGTGAGTAACTTGATATGATCATGAGTGGCAACAGTTTGTGATCGAAACGTCATTAGTTAATATTACTGTGTAACACTGTGTGATTTATCAAAATAAAATCTTATCCATAATGGAGTTATAGTCTACCCCAGTGGCCAAGTTTTATACTTATATCAATAATTTCTATGAGTTTCATTGAAGGTGTTAGCAATCGGCAGGATGGTATTAAGTAAGCCCTATTCACTCCTGGAATTGAGAAATTGGGCTTTCAGGCCTTCGAGAAGCGATAGTTTAAGCCATGCAAGGTGAGTGTGAAGTCTTCTTCGTTGATTTGATGATCTAGTATCCCGTATCTGCCAGGCTTTGGATTATGACTCTGCCAAAAATAAGCTGAATTCATGTCTTCCTGTAAAAACCACTCTCATTAAGTTATTTAAATTAATTTTCCATTATCAATACTTTACATGTCGATAAATCACTTTCAAGTAGAAACAACCTGGTACTGATTCCTGTGAAGTGTATTAATGAAGGTTATAGAGTACTGACGGCAGAATGTGATGAGCATATATTGAAACGGCTTTAAAAAAGCTGAAACCTTAAACTTCGATAAGTGTAGGAGGTAGATGACCAGCTTTTTATGGAGCCAGACAATTGATTCATATGAGTTAGGAGTTTGGCGACAAGTCTGCTCTTAAGAATATGTAGAAAGAGAGGCTCAGGCGATATAAATTCATAAAACAAGTCACTCCTTCAAAATTTAAAATATTTGGAGGCGATCGGCAGGAAGTCTTGGGTCTAGGTTTCGTGCCAGTTGGCACTCACCAGTCAGCAAGGCGTATCGGCAATCCTGTAAGAAATCAACAATTCAGAGTGCACCACGATGACAAACCACCTAGCATGGTGGTCACAATTTGAAACTTGACTGATAAAATCTAGTCAGCGCCAAATAATGGACCATACACATTACAGTAGTTACTGAACAATGTCTAATCAAAGTAAGTTTCTCCTTGACTGTGTACAAAGCCAGTTCATTTCTGCACTCAACTTACCATGGTTATTTTTACATAATTTTTTTATAACAGTAATTTCAATTCTTAACCCTTCTTCTTTGAAAACAGTTCATATTTAATCACCCCTTTCATATGGCTAACAAGCAAATGTGTTTGAGGTGATTGTCTGAAATGTACATTAAAGAGTGCATCGCACTTTACGTACTGTAAATGCTATCTTTTAATAAGTTTCTGTTGATAGGATTTTCGCCAAGTGAAAACAAATGCCTGAAAGGAAGCAGATATTCCCAGAGTGCAATTACCAGACACATTATTGATACCGGACATCTCGTAGAGATTTCTAAGTCCCTCAAAATATTAAACAGACAAAGGATAGCAAATTTACTACGATTTGCCGAAGCAATCGCAATCAAAAGACGTAAACCAGACTTATGCATACAGAAAAAGAGTGTGATTAACCTCTCACTGCCTTGGTAACATAATTTTGATTTTGATTAGTCATCTAATTCAGTGATCTCAACTCACTGAACAAATCTTAATCTCATAAACTGTAACCGTTTTTGTTTCTTGAGTTGCTATGTGAACCTACAAGCTAACACTGTTCTGTTAATCAATTTTTTCTGTTTTCTGCCTTACCCCTCCCCTCTTTTCAACTTTAAAAGCGTATAAATTGATGATGAAAACTTAAACTAAAAACATTGTAATGCTTTCATTTAGATGCGTCAATTTTATAGTATCTCTTTTCTGCCACCACTCGAACATTAAAGTATGTTATTATCATCTATATAACCATTGTAATTTCAGGTAGTCTGCATCTGATGAGAACCTCTGAAATAGAACGATGATATCATTTTATACTGCAAATTTCGTCTTCCTTTCTTTAACGAAAACAAATTCAATAGTAAACTATATTAGTGATCAATGTGATCAGTGAAAGAAATTTGATTGAGGTCACTTCTTCCTCTTAGCTGGACAGCACCGTTTTAGTAAGAGGCGGAAGGGATGAGAATTGCAAAGAGATGACCAGAAAGGTAAGCCGTAGATTTATTATAGAGAATCAAAACAAGTGATTCATTGAAGAGACTCTTTTCAACAACAAATTTATCATCAAGCTGTACAACCGTATATGTATGGTTTTTAAGAAGTTATATCCGGTGAGGGAATTGAATCACTGGTGTGAATGCCGAAAAATAATTGTAACAATAGTGTGAAATGCAATTAAAACTAAAATGTTTGTGATTATAATCATAGGTAAATGCCAAGTGGCAAAACAAATTAGAATGACAATGTTCCAATTGTCATTATAGATCAATTCCTTTTTACAACGTTAAATTCTATGCTATCAAATTTCACAGAATATTACGTAACATTTTTATTTTATTTTATTCGATTTGTCTACTATTCCTATAACTGCATACTCCTTTTCAAGTTCTATCCATCCTATGAATTATTCTATTTATGACATTAATATGTTCTGCCACTTGACATTTAACTATGATTATAATCACAAACATTTTAGTTTTAATTGCATTTCATACTACTATTATTATTATTTTATGGATTCACACCTATGATTCAATCCCCTCACCGGATATAGCTTCTTAACAGAAAACCATATATATGCGATTGTACAGCTTGATGATGAATTCGTTGTTGAAAAGAGTCTCTTCACTGAATTACTTCTTTTGATTTTATATATGTTACAACGGGAATTTTCCATAAGTTAAAAAATAGCTGTATTTATCGTCTGTACTCTTCAGCATATTGAGAGGAATGATGGGAGGGGTTGCAAGCTATGAAATCTCACTATTGGTGCTGATGTTCGATTCCTACACAGTGGGATTGCTAGCTCCATGTTAAAGGTTTCCCGTTTTCTGGGTTCGCTACTGGCTAGTAAACTGCACATCAACTGGAAATGGAACCCCGGACCTTGTCTGGCATATTAAAGAGTATTCTAACCTTATCGAACCACGGACGTACATACTGTATTTTTGCCTATGAAGCAAATCACACATTATGGTTTAAATACTCGGTTACTTAGAACTCCGAACTATAAAGTTTGCAAATGATGTATGTAGTCTGACTAAGGTGTATTAAATGCTACGTAACAGATACTATAAGTTATTTACAATTGAAAAGAACTGAAGAAATCAAGTAGATCCAATTGGTTTAATACTAAATTTGGGTTTGCTTTAAAGGATGCATGCATCACTATCTATTAGTGAGTAATGCGAGGTGTACCATAAAGGATACAACCACTTTTATGTGGTTCCTGAAGATGAAAATAAATTTCGTAAAAATACTTTCAAATTTCATTAGATGGAAACCGTTAGTAGATGAGAAACAAGGCGCTCTCCTGAACAGTAAACATTTGTCAATACCACCTGGAACTCTGATTGCAGATGGGGTTTTCCATGTCTCTTATCCTACCATCGGCACTGTTATCACTCTTTTATCTCACCTTCTTCACAATTGTAAACTGGACAGTCGACCATCTTGGTTCTTTCTTATCTGATAATAATTTTCATCTTATCAGTTTTTGAACTATAACTTCTGTTGTGTCGGTAAATATTGAATAACTTTCATTCTTTCTCTATAAACTGCTTCTAACTGGCGGTATTAATGATGTCGCTCCAAACTTATAAGACAATAATAGGCGTATCTGCAAACTTGAAAGAACTCATGTCCGTCCTTCTGAGATTCCAACCCGTGTTACCCAATGCTTCAGTCAGAGACGTTGCCACCGAACTGTTTGGGCTCGCGATTAGCCTCCTGTAGGACTGCATTGAATATCTTTTTGGTTGAACACTAGTTGGTAAGTAGTTTGATTCGCCCAGTTCTTGGTTTGATGCAGAATAATGGTCACATTGTAAACCTGACTGATAGAAAGGACTAGAAACATTATACTAGTCACTGGCTAGTGTCCAATCAAAGTACTCCACTGAATTGTTGTATTTTATTTTCTTTATGGTATCGTGTATTTACCTCTGGTCATCTAGGTAGATGAATTCATTAGTCTTGCTAGAGAGTTGAGCCTAGAATTCCTGGACTGCATTGCAAAACTTATCTATTTTTAACATATCTCTAGAGAAATCCTGCTGTCTATGATCATTAACGAGTTTGAGCGAAATGTTATAATTTACCTCATGTAAACAATTGCTCAAATAATTAAAGACTCAGTTCCATGCTATATCTGACTGTCTGTCGAAGGATGTGTGTGGACAGCATCGTTATACTACTTTCATTTCTGAGCAGTGAAATATGATCATTGAAAGTGTAAGACACGAAGTAGTTAGCTGTCTTCGACTGCAGGTACCAATATAAAGATGAAGTTGGTTGTCGACTGTGAGATAACTAGGGGTAAATGGATCAACGATACTGTGAAGCTGCATTAAATGAGATGCAAATAAAGTGTATTAGCCATCCAGATTATGCCTATCCTCACTTCCCTGACCGTCAGATTGCATAAAATAAGGTTGGCATGGTTAGGAGTGGTTATATTGAGAGGTATAAACTGTTAAGTTGAAACCCTGAACACTCTAAGATCCAATGGCTCAAATCTGTTTTCACTGAAGACATCACCTTTTATAACGTTTCAGACTCACTAGATCCTTACTAATTACTCATTATGTGGATATTTCTTCTCCTGTACCCTTCTTATTTCATGATAAATACCTTGCATTCTGATGTTTTCCTTATCTTTATGTTTGATTTTATGAAAGTGTGCTAAATTGTGAAATGGTACAGGATTTGTGTAAAGCTCTGCGAAGATAAGGATTTGGTTCATATAGTCATATTTGATTGATTAATACTTTAAATCAATTTTCAAATGACAGTTTCAAATATAATTTTAAAAGAATGCTTGGTTTCACTAGACTTCTAGAAATAATGGCTGGAAAGGTGTTATTCGTACACAGCTAACTAGTCTTGTCTAATACGAAACACTTGGATGGCGGCCTGACTTAAACTTGGGCTACCAAAAACTTCCATCTTTCTCTATCGCATATCTTTTCTCTGGTTATCTTTGTTTCAACTGATTAAGAATATGACCTCTAATGATATTATCTACTTCTGTGTGTGTGTGTGTAATTAAAGTGTTTACGAGCTTCTCATTCCCCAGTTCTAACTAAACTTGATGAAAGGCCTGATTGTGAGGGGGGGTGGGGGAACTAATGTGTTCCAGTACATGAGATAACTGTTCTTCAGTTATCTCTTTGGGTCTAACTGAGTTTGTGAGTTTGAATGCCAGCCGCGTTGGTGTCTGCCTGCATTATTAAGAATTCTGCATAAAATCTCCGACGTTACTTCTTTGCATTGTATTTTTATTACAGCTTGAGTCCACACCGTATTTTTTGGTACAGGTATAGGATTTTCAGCATGTGATGTCGGTAGCCCAAATTTTGCAGGCCGACCATAGATATCAGGTGTGCGTTGGTAGGGGATTGAACCTGAGATCACGTGCATGCCAGGCGAGAGTCTTAACCACCGACGCACAATGCAATAAAATTGCCTGGCATTCAAACCCAAAAACTCAATTAGAATCAAACTTTGTCTGTTAAAAGATCCTGTGGTGTATCTCACACTCTACTTGAATGATTGTCAGGTGATATACATGAGTCAAAGTAGTAAGGCACGGTCAGTCAGACTAGCTAGACATAAAAACCTAGCAAAATCTAGATTGGTTGACCCGAATAAGATAAAAAATCTAGAGAATAGTTCAGCTATACCACTCACTACATGCAATTACACACAATCATACAATGGGATGGGACAGGATGGCAGTTTTCAAATCTAATGTATTAGCAGGGTGGAAGGAGAGACTGATGACAGAAAATTGGTTTATCGAATCAACTACACACACACGTGTAATAGGAATGATTCGACACCTGTCCGAGATAAACGAACCCAAGTAGGTGCCTGTTGATAAAGCGTTCTTAACTAGGACGAAACAGCTGTCTAGTACTCCCAGGTTTTCCAATGGGTCTTTAACCGACGTCAAAACATGATGAAATCCTGTAACCAATCAGTCGAATCCCTACAAACCAATACTTAAAAACTATGAAGTTCTAGTTTTGGAGTCTTTTGGTTATAACTGATATGGTTATGAATAATAAATTGTGTCTGACATGTTACCCAGTAAATAATTCGAGTGTTTCACTGTATGATATAACTAATAATCAATATAATATGGTATCACTCAATACCATGCAGAAAAGTTACACATATATAATTATTTGGTTAACTAATTTTTTCTACAGTACTAGTTTCGTAGCAGCAACGTATCTCATATATGTGTGGCGGCTTTATAGCACAGTCGAAATCATTTTAGTGTTTGATATTTCTATTGTTCAACAGAACCACATTGATATATCAACAAATAATCTTCCATATGTTGTCTGTGGGGAGTTTTTGTAATTGTACGTATTTCTCAAGGATGTTTAGATCATATGATTGGACAGAGTTTGTAAAAACAAGAGATGTCCCTTTTATACATATAAACCTCTGTTATGTTAACTTCGATTAATTTCCCTGAAGAAGTTCTGACCAGATTGCCGAACGCAGGAAACGTTGGAATTAATCATTTCAATTTCGCTGAGATTTTACAAATATAACTTCATAGATGTTTAGATCAGTTATGCATTAAGACGCAGAGATCGGTTCCCTACCTTCAGACCACAATGAGTTGATTTCAAATGTTACAATTACAGCTTAAATTTACGCATATATTCCACTGACAAAGTAATAGTATGCAAGCATATAACCACCAAATCAATTAAAAAAAAAGTGCGCAGTTAATAAAAATTCTAAAATTTGTCTTACATTATAATAACCTTTTGAAAATATCGGTTGGTTATCATTTAAATCTTGAACGAATACTTTGACCAGATGACTCGATGTAAGACTTGGTTCACCGTTATCAATACAGACAATCTACAGAAAATATGGACAAGAGGAAAGAAAGGGAAGATGAACGGACAAAGATACGACGGAGTAAAAGTCATATTGATTTTGCAAAGTAAAAAAGCCCATTGAAAACATAAAAGCGATATATATATATACAGAAAGCCGATGAAGGCACCAACTAGGCTGTACATTTGTGAATATATGCGACCAATTGACTGGTCATCAGAGTGTAATCAATGTGTCGTATGCGTCTAGTCTTTGGAGTTTCTGCTGACTTTTTTATAACGCAGAGGACCACGCAATATGCATCGAGAAGTCGGAGCTGTGTGTTCAAAAGAAATTAGTCCAACGTCTACAACTACCATCGACCCAGTTCGGTATGTTCCTTTTGCTTCCGTTTTTTTCCTCTTTTTTTCGTTCTCTCTGTTCTTTTTGAGCATTTTTTCGTTCGCTGTGTGTATGTGTGTGATCCTTACTCCCTATGTCTTCATTTGATTTACCCCATTTTTTTCAGTTTTAAAATCAGTTATTTTAGGTTTGTGTCAATGCTTTTCCTGTTCACATCTAGAATTCGTTTAAAATAACTACTTTACAATTATATCTTAATCCTGTGCAACTTTTGTGTTTCTAAGACTTTTGTAATCTATACTCGCACCTCCTAACTCCCATCTCAAGTTGAAAATTATTATTTTAATTTTGTTTCCATGCTCAGTTTTACACACTTTTTATCCCTTCTAATCCTGTGTCATTTTGCTTCTAAGCCTCTCGTAGAAACCAGGTCTAGTTGAAAATTAAAAAAATCAGTCAACTTTGCAATACGGTCATCTACCAAGTTGACAATGGCTATCTCGGTAGTCTTTGAATAGATACTTGATGATTAGAGGCAATAAATATGTAGAAGTAGGTTGAGGAGGGTTTCATGTTTGTTACCTGTCATCAGCAAGTTGTATCTGCAATGTTCAAGGAGCTCACAGCTGCTCGAAAATTTAAAATGCGGACAGAAGCAAGACAACCTTGCCTGGTATCGTCAGATTTTCTCCTCAATATGGTTAGTCGGAAAAAACAGTAGACTGTGAGAGGTAACTTAGGCATACATTCGACCAGCGAAAAGACTTGTAGACGAGTATTTCAAAGACGATTTGCGTCTTTGATCACCACATACCGGCAGATTCATAAGCGCAAACCAATAAATCATCAGTAACAGCAGTCAAGTTGGGCTTACTAGCGAAATTAGAAAAATTGGAGGCGATCAAGATACATAACCAACTACAAGAATCATCAGTCATTATGGCACGTGGAAATCAAAAGGAAGTCGTGTCTTTCGCTCACCCAGGTGGCATAGATTCAAATATAAGCAGCGCAGATGTAGAAGATTAAGAAAGCTGGATTCAGCTAGTCATACTGACTGGATTTCACTTTGTCATTAGACGACTGAGACGTACAAGATTAGATCGATAGAATGTAACAAAAATATTCATTCTGACATCTATAAAACACAAAATTACCGAGCAAAGAATATTTTTTTCGACGAATGGTTGCTATGAAGAAAATAAAAGACAGATTCAACAAAGAAAATTTTCTTTATCGACGAAATCGTCTTCAGAGGCTGTGCAATCGTATTTATACTTAGAAAAATGTATAGTGGTCTATTATTGAGTAACAGGGGGTGACATAATTGATATAATTAATGGTTGCCAAGTGAAAACGGTTATCCTGAAAAGTTTACTGATAGGAATATGAATTTGAAACCAAAGCAGCCCAAGTTACCAACAGTTCCAAAAAAGCCCTTATTCCTTGAGGACAACACCAGCGAGATATTAACACATAGCCTTAGAAATGCAGTAGTAGGAGCATTCCCTGCGGCTGAATTACGCTGTATCTGCGAAACCAGTCCTCTTTTGCATTCGGGAGTAAAAGACAAACTGCCTAATTTCGCATCTTCCATGTGTATCTACCAGTTTGCCTGCTCCTCTGGAGCCAGTTACATAGGCCATACAATTAGGAATGTTTCTCGTCAAATTTCTGAACATCACCCTGGGTGGTTAAGCAAAGGACAAACGAAATCTATTCTCCGTGCTAGTCTGTCTCATCTTGTGGGGACAGAACACAAGATTGACGTTAACCATGCTTTCAGGGTCATTTACCGCATACCTGAGAATCTCAACTCTGCCTTGAGAGTTCGACTACCAAATACTGCTGAGGCTGTGAAGATCCATATTAACAAGCCTAATTTATGCATCCAAAAGTAGTTAGTTCAGACATTATCATTACTTTGACCATCCAGGTTTGAATAATCCTGAATTTTTTGTGGAATTTGCATAATTTTAGTTAATATTCTATTCGCTATTATACTTTTATCATGACTATAATTTAAGCATCTTTATTGAACTGTAATTTCATTGATCATCCTTTACAAGTCGATATTATTTAAAAAGCACACTAATATTGATATTGACTACTATTCTAGAATATTCTATGTATATCACCATATATGTATATGTGTAGAGCCAGGGAAGAAAGAAATTATTGAAAAGGATATTCTTTGCTCAGTTATTTTGTGTTTTATCGACAGAATATGTCAAAAAGATGACTGTAACTGCATTAGTTTCAACAAACGTTATAACTGGCTGATAACCAGATAGATTAATATAATGATATACTTATGAGAAGCCACTGGCATGAAATATTCGAGTACATGAGAACTTTCATACTGGTGACTGATTGCTTGATATGGCTAGTTGCATACCGCTCATTTCAACAGATAGCACTGTCTAACTAAGTCGAAGTGATTTCAACACTTATATGATCAACCATATCAAGGCAAAGTGAATGTCAGTCAAGAACTGTAGCGCGTTAGTGAAATATTAACAGATGCTTCATTTTCTATAGTTTGTTTGTGAGGGTCCGTTTTCTTATTCCTAGTTGATCACGAATTGCTATCAGTTAGAGAATCATTGAAAACCAGGAGGTACTGGACAGCTGTTTCATCCTAGTTCGGAAATCATAAGCTGTACGCACCTACGGCCAGATATTGAACCCAGGATCTTTCGATTACAAGCCAAGCTCGTATACCACTCAGTCAGGCGTGAGGAAGGATGTCCTACCAACGACATAGGTTGGGGTCACGCTAAATCACGAATTGGTAGAAGTTAGAATTCATGCACTAGCCATTGGGCAGTCGGGTCTCAATGGCTGAATGGTATACGAGGCAGCTCGCCTTGTAACCGGAAGGTCCTAAGTTCAAACGCTGGTGGAGGATGAGTACTGCTGTGGTGACAGCAGGCTGCTAGCCAAAGTTGGGAGACAGTATTTTTCGTCAATGTTTATGTCCCAAATATTGGTAGTGAGAAAATATGAACAAGACTGATTCAATAACCAATCACAGCAGACTTTGCGTAGGCAGATACAGTTAACATATAGATCATCTGACATTCAATAAACAGTCACAAAGAGATGCAAGGTCAACTCTCTGTGAGAAACAACCAATCAGAAGAGTGTGTTTATTTGCTTGAATAATCTATAATAACGTACATTAAAATATAAAAGTACGTGTTGATTTCCTTAGTAAAGGATCTGTTGCCTGGTCCTTGTCTTCTGTTGTTACACTGCCAATGATTTCCAATCCAGGATGAAACAGCTGTCCAGTACTCCCTGGTTTTCAACGGTTCTCTAACTGACATTAATCCCTGCTCAACTCGTAAAAAAATGCTTAAATATTTAGGTCACTGAATTTCAACTCAATGGCTAAGCAATCAGACAGGTGATTTCACAAATTGCAGCTCCTTGTTTCGATACAAAATAGGGTCATGCTTAGACACTATCAAACAGTATTTTGATTTGGCACTAGTAACTAGTGTGATGCGTCTAGTCCTCTGATTGGTGTAGACAGAATTCTATCAGTCAGGTTGTAATGTGACCACTATTCTAGCTAGCTCGCCATCACAGCTCACCTTGCTGACGAGTGCCATCTAGCATGAAACCTAGGTCCAAGGCTTCCTGCCGATTGCCTCCAACCATCTAATAATACCAAACAGTCTTGAACTGCAATGAAACATCTGTCTAATGCATCAGTAAGATGTTCATTCGAAGGAGTTTATTGTGCACACAGCTTATACTACTGAAGAGAAGGGAAGAGAACTATGAGACGTTCTGATTGAAAATACCTATCCCGTAAAATGAATGCATAGACGAGAATATGCTTAACGTACTGCTGTAGGGCTGCTTTCCTTTAATGCGTTAGTTAGTTAGTTAATTGAACAAAGGAGCTCGATTCTGATGCAAATGCTTGGTAGTGCCTTCAAGAAAACCTTTAGATCCTCACGTATTTGGTTGAAATCTCAGTAGAAATATATTCGAGTGGAATAATTTCTTTTCATGAGAATGAAATGTTATGGTATTTTCAATGAATAAGAGATTAATCACGTGAAATCGTATTCGCTCTTGTCGATGTATAACACCACTATTTAATGCCTTATCTACAGCGATTGAACAGGCAGGCGTTTCAATGCAATTATTGTCATTGAAGAGCTGGTGTTAAAGCTGATAATTTTTACTAGTGTTGTTGGAATTGATTTACAAAGTCAAAGCATTCATTAATCCAGCTTTTATATATTACCATCGATTTTCTGAGTGTTAAAGCATACTCTTTAACTTGCAGCCACTAAAATAGGAAATTCTTTTGTTTCGCTTTTTCACAGTAAAACGGTAACAGTAATGCAGAGATATAGCGCTTCATAGTAAGTGGAGAATGTAATACTGTGGTGAGAGCTGGTTGTGCGTCGGTGGCACAGTGGTTAGGACTCTCGCCGACCATGCACACGGTCCAGGGTTCGAGCCCACGCCGACGTACACCTGATATCTATGGTTGGCCTGCGAAATTTGGGCTACCGATATCCACGCTGAAAATTCCATACTTGTACCAAAAATACAGTGTGGAATCAAGCTGTAATCAGTAATTTACGTCAATGTTTATGTCCCCAATATTAGTCGTGAGAAAAATAAGAACACAGACTTTGCGTAGGTGGATA